TGACGTCATAGCAACGGTTGATGAGGATAGGGATGGGAAAATAGGATTTAGAGGTGAGTGGTGATCTTTTGTTTGGGATAAATGGTGATCTTGTGTTTTGGGAAGAATAATGATGTTGTGTTTGGTATAAATTATAAATGGTGATCTTGTGTTTGGGATAGATGGTGATCTTGTGTTTGGGATAAATGGTGACTTTGTATTTTGGGATAAATGATGATCTTGTGTTGGGGATAAATACTGATCTTTTATATGAGATACATAGTGATCTTGTATTTGATACAACTTACGATGTTTGTTTGGGATAAGTGGTGATCATGTGTTTTGGGATGAATAATGATGTTGTGTTTTGGATGCATCGTGATCCTGTGTTAGATACAGTGTTTTTAGAGATGTGGTGATCTTGTATTACAAGTATTTTAGCAGCTGTGCTCAGTGTGTTACCGTGAGGTTTTTACTTTCGTCCTATTTGGTTCGTATATGAGTGCTGTTATATATATATATATATATATATATATATATATATATATATATATATATATATATATATATATATATATATATATATATATATATATATATATTCATTTTCTGTGTTTTTATACTTTATGTTTTGCTTATTTCAGATTTCAAACATTTTTTATCAGACGAGGATGAGAGAGGTGTCGATGAGGTTTCTTCAGACATTTGTTTACAGAACGATGAAGAAATACTAGACGTCGTCATTTCACTAGACGATAACAGAGCAGACATCACGTCCCCACGTCAAAAAACAAATATGAGTACCTCACAGCAAATGGACGACCTTGACCCTAACGTCCTCAGCAGTGGGTCAGCTGAGGGTCAAGACACGTCACGGCTCAGCGAGCAGAAACTTCTGCAGACCGCACCATCTTTTGACGATTATCCTCTCGACGACAAGGTGGAGACACTTGTCTCGCAACTGGACTGGACCAATGAGGAAACTCCTTCCGTCAGCCAGTCAGATGACAAGGCTGGTCAAATCAGCCAATCAGATCGTTTGATACAGAATATTCTAAAGCAAGCAAGCTTGGACTCTAGAAAATCGCATTCATTTATTGCTTCGAATAAATATTCCAGAGAAATTCATGAACAACGTACGACCTCTGACCAACAGCAATTGGACACTTCTGTTTTCGTTGAGCCGGAATTAAATAGTTTAGCTGTCTCAGAAACGCTTGAAAATCTTTCTTTGTTAGACTCAGTTGATCGAGAAGACACACAAGAGTTTGTGGCTTTACCAAGTCCAAACCACTTTAATTTTCAAACTAAGACATTCAATACAGAACCTACAGACTTTGAGGGTGTGATATCACAGGATGGAGAAGATGTAGCGAATTGGACACATACGTATGATATAGATCCGGACAGGGAAGATGTAGCAAATATGACACATACATACGAAATAGATCCGGACAGGGAAGATGTAGCAAATATGACACATACATACGAAATAGATGTGGACGGGGAAGATGTAGCAAATATGACACATACACACGATATAGATGTGGACAGGGAAGATGTAGCAAATATGACACATACGTATGATATAGAAGCCAATATTTACGGTACAGTTGACTATGGTGAAGAAGGTGACGTCGAATATTTAAATACTGATACTACAGATGTAAATAATGTTGATGATAATGTTGATAATAATGTGGATACTTCTGATGTTGAACTGGATGATGATGTTGAAAACCCCACACCAGAGGGAGAATCCAATTATGATGTTGTGAATAGTGTTGATGTACATAATGGTGATTCGTACGGCGATAATGAAACATATGAAGCGCCAAATGAGATAAATGGTTTAATGACAACTTGTACTAGTCCTGGGGCCTTGGTTGATGTTCCTGAAAACGATTGTTTAGATAATGAAGAAAATGTTGATGATTTTCAAGAAGAAGACGTAGAAGAAGAAAGTCCAATGCCGAGGTATGATAGAATGAAATCGCCAACTGTTTCCTTATGCCCAGATGATGATACGTTTGAACAAATCAACCGCGACGATATACAAACTGGCAATTCAAACTTCGTTGACTTAAAAAACCTGGACAATACCCAGGACAGGGATAACTATCTCCATTCGTACTACAACTCAGCCGGGTTAACTGTAGACCAGTCAACCTCAAAAAGTGACTTCAGTGACGTTCGCGCTAGTTTATCCTCGCCCCACACGGACGAGTCGGGGGACGAGGATCTAATGGACTACAAGAACGATTTATCTGTTATACTTAGTCTTCACGATACCCCTACACCGAGATTAGATGAAAGCGAAATAAACTCGAATTTCCACAACGAAGATTCTGATAATGTATTTCAAGAACAAGAACCCCAAGAGTCGTTAGATGATAAACTCGACGATTATTACAATAACAACATTCGTGGGGAGTCAGCCAAGTCGAGGACTCATTCCAGAGGTTCTCAAAGATGTGAAACAGCCAGGGGCAGTAACTTTGTTCTGAACAAGGTTCAGCTCCCGTGTAAAACCATCGAGGTGGTGGAGCTAAACCTCAAAGCTCCAGTCACGGCTGACTTGTTCTCTAACAGAAAACACTTCGGAAGCCTCCCGAAAGACGTTTCGAAATTTATAGTTTTGGGAAAAAGTTCCGTGTTTCAAAGCGGCAAAGGGGATATTCAAAAAGTAACGAAACTTTCGAGCAAATCGGAAGTGAAGCAGCCGTTTTGTAGGTCGGATTACGTCACGAATAGGTTACGGTTAATGCATTCTCGTAGACCATACACAGCATGTACAAGTTCCGAGAGTAAAAAGTTGATTAAAAACAGCAGACATGACCTATTTTTAGACGAGTTGCCTCGTTTCGGTTCTAAACCTTCAGTCTCCGAACTATCCCGAAGCGTTTCGGAATCTCTCGAGATTACAAACTCGAAAACGGGGAATGTAACAAACAGAACAGAGAAAAATCAAGGGAGTGATGTACAGCAGGCGTTAAATAAACCGCCAGGATTTTTAAAGAGGTCGCAGACGACCAATGATATCACTTCCTTTCGGAGAAACTTTCTGAAAAATTCAACTCCGAGGAAAATAAACAGCGCACCCAGTCGTAGATCGATACCGGGATTTATGTCTCACCGCGATACTACTCACAATAGCTTCATGACCAACAGAAACGTATCGGTTCTTCAAAGTCTTAGAATCGATACGTCTAAGCAACATCATCAGTTTGGGGTTCGTCAGGCCCCAAGTTACCACCAAACAGATTACTTCGAGGCTTCGGGCAACAAAATAAAGCTTCAGAATACCCACGTGCTTTTAAAATACGTACAGGATGAAAAACAAAGGATAAAAGATCAACAAACAGCTATCAATGAAGTTAACGAGGGGAAGAAGAGGGCTCAGTATTCCCGTGGGGTGAGCGAACCTGGCTCGCCTCGACCCCCAAAGGAAATCCCGCAGGAGGTACCTGCCATGACGAAAGGAAGATCCATGACGTCACATCCGCCGACCGTCTCCTACAACGGTTGGCTGGGCAGGGACCAAGTGCCGATATCCGGGATCTTCAGGGGGTCGGAGGTCACTCATGCTACTGTTGTGAACCTTGAACTGCCGAGTGACGTCAGGTCGGGTAGAAACAGGAGAGTGCCAAGATGATGGGCTGCAGTTACACGTGTATTTAGCCAGATAGTTAGCCAATGTTAATCGGACGTTAGCCACAGGCTAAAACATCCACCACCTACATTTTCTGAGCCTAAAGCTCAAAAGCAATTTAAAGTGAACTCTTCATCACCATCATCTGTCCTTTGGTCACCTTGTGAAGCATGGAGACGCAACCACACTTCTCCATCGCTCTCGTTTCCTGCCAACTCTTCTAAGTTGGGTCCACGACATTCCTGCTGCTTCTGATTCACTGACAACAGATCTTTCCCCAAGTTTGTTTTGGTCTATCTACTTCCCTCTCTCAATGAGGATTCCAATCTAAAGCCTGTATAGAGCAAAGGATCCGAACTCGTGACTTTCAGGTTAGCAAACGCTAGACATCTACCGCTAGACCACAAGACAACCTAGAGATGTCAACTTAAAAAAAACTATTTTATCAAAGGATATTTATATGTGACATTCCTAAAACGGTAGACTGCAAGCATCGTCTGCTTAACAGAAACATGTCTGCTGAATTAATTAAAACAAACAATGAGTTAGGTCGTTAATTAGACGAACCCTACAGCTACATCTTTTTAGATCAGCTGGTGTAGGAGCTGTATATGATTACTGCAATAAACAATGTCTAACTTTGTTAAACAAATGATTATTACATTGACAAGGCTCAGCAACCCGTTGATATGTTAATTTTTTATGTATACCTACCGGTGGTTCTAAATTTCTTAGACTCTCTGTACCCTGCAATGGATCTTTGTTTCATCTATCAATCTCGATGTACACAATTATGTAATTTTATTAAAAACAAAAATGATATTTGCTTTAATGTGAGATCAAAGAATATTGTTCTGGCGTGTGTGTGGTGCTTAATCAATGTGTGCATTCTTCTATTCAAGAATCTTGTAATTATACAAATTATAAAATAAATCTAGCTAAACTAGAGGTTTAACTTGCAAGGCAGAAGTGGCAAGCTAAAGCACGATACAAAACTTTCAGCTGTTGATATTTTTAACTGGCAAAAAAAAAAAATTGCATGCTACAAGAACACTGCACGTAGATTCTACTTACAACAGGCATACTTGGCTTCAAAGAAATACTAGATAAGAACTACTCGTAAGGCAACATTTAAAAAAAAAAGAACTAGACAAAACTTGACATGACTGAAATTTGACACATATACCAGACAAAAAAACGACACAAATATTAAACAGGCGTGACAGAGAAACAAAAAACAACTACAAAAATACACACAAAAAAACTTGATAAAAATACTAAAATAAAAGCTTGACAAAAAGACTAGAAAACACAAAACTGTACAGAAATCCGGGAAATAACGTGAAAAATTTAAGTCCAAAGAGTCAGGTTGAAATGGGAATATTTATTGGCATGGGCTATTTACATTGATTAGAAATAATAACAAAGATAGCAGGAAAAGAACTGAAACTAAGGTACCGAAAAAGTAAACAATTCTTTATGTCAATGGTTCTCAAGTTTTAGTTGACACATTCTTCAAAGACCAAAACATCAAACAAGGATGTATTACAACATCCTATATCAGACACAAGGTATACATGGCTAAGATGTATAACACGTGTAAGGATTTCACCTTGTGTAAGACATATTTGGTCCCTGCTTACCCCATAGTGAGAACCACTGATGGTACAAGATAAATGAACAACTAAACAACGAGACCGAATGGTTTCCGGTATAACATAAAAATGGCTGAAGGCGCGTATCACATGATCAGCCCCAAACAATACTTCATTTCTTAAGTCTATCTCGAATACAATTTCAATTTGCATAAGTAAAATTAAATTTTGTAAAAAGTTAATTTTGTGAAAGTTAACTTGTTTTTTTTTAAAGTAGCTTAAATATTTAAAAAAAGCTAATCTAAAAAATAATAATTATGTAATAATAACATTCTAAAAGAAAAATCTTTCAATAGCAACAAACATTTTCAATGTAAAAAAAAATTCCTTTAAATAGGATTTAAATAATGTTCTTTATTTTACATTAGCATCATGCACTAGAATAGATAATAATTAAACAATGATAAATAACGACATAAATTTAATTGAATTTAGTTTGGCTAAATTCAGACTTTTCCTACCCACTTTGATGGTTTTTAAAAATTAATTTTTGCAATGTACACAGAAACCAGCCTAAGCTATTAGCAGAATGAATATGTGGAATAAATGCATGATTTTGTGAACACAGAATAATTTTACACCAAATTTTATTCTATTGAATTTCATTTAAATGATTGCACATGATGGGACCTAGCTACACGTAGCACAAAGACGACAAAGTCTTTAGTGCTGCAGCACAAAATTTAGTCTGCGTCTTATTATAATCTTCATTTATTTGAGTTGCTATAATTTTTTAGCATTTATTTTTTATATTTACTGTGACAAAATGTTACGTTATGTATCATTTAGATAAAAAAAAAGCCTCACTCAAATACAAAAACATGTAATTTAGATAAGTGGAGGCTGGCTATAAAAGAAATCATCAAGTCTAGTACCAGAGATAGCCTGCTGACCATAAACATATGACTTGGGCTAACTTAAGAAACTTAAAGAATAGCCTGCTGACCAATAACATATGACTTGGGCTAACTCAAGAAACTTGAAGAGTAGCCTGCTGACCATAAACATATGACTTGGGCTAACTCAAGAAACTTGAAGAGTAGCCTGCTGACCATAAACATATGACTTGGGCTAACTTAAGAAACTTGAAGAATAGCCTGCTGACCAATAACATGTGACTTGGGCTAACTCAAGAAACTTGAAGAGTAGCCTGCTGACCATAAACATATGACTTGGGCTAACTCAAGAAACTTGAAGAATAGCCTGCTGACCAATAACATGTGACTTGGGCTAACTCAAGAAACTTGAAGAATAGCCTGCTGACCAATAACATGTGACTTGGGCTAACTCAAGAAACTTGAAGAATAGCCTGCTGACCAATAACATATGACTTAGGCTAACTCAAGAAACTTGGTTGGTTCTAAGTGTCAACAAACCCCAGTATCCAGACTGTGTTCAATAATCCTACTCAAAACATCGCAGACAACAAATAGATTCTGTATGTGAATAGTGTTGAATCTTATAATCCTAATCACTCGACTAATTAGTGTGGTAACACCCCCCCCCTCCCCCAAATGAACTTGCAGAGCATTAGTGGAGTTGTGAGCATGAAACTGTTTACTGCAGTTGGATCAGTTGGTATACAACATTTAATGAAGCCAGTAACATTTCCCATCTTGACCCAGTGTGTCCCCCTCCTTCAATCCTTAACATAGCTTCACTGTGTGAAGTTAGCATGCAATACAGAAAATATAACACAGCAAAATGTATTCAACCTGAACTTAAATTTTGCAAAACCAGCTGGTTAAAAAAGGCTATTGTTAAAAAAAAATGGTACCTTACACAATCCAGTCCAAAATATTTCTGAACTCATCATTTCGGTTACAACATTTGATTACTATTTTAATGTACAGTAATAAATGGTATGAATGTAAATAAAACAAATATTGATAGCCACATTTCCTCTGTTAAAATTTACCCCAATAAGTTACCTCTTTTGAAATTTTAATTCAAAATTGCAAAAAAATCAAAAATAACTTTTAGATATTCACAAGTGTAATGTTTACAACATACTTTATTTATAAAACAAAACAAGGAATGAAATAATTAAAATGCTACTAGCACAGTGACGTACACTAGTACATATATGGAATGCTTCTATTGCGTTAAGACGTAGACATACATTTTCTTGATGTGTCATTATGAAGCTGAAGGTAATTGACGCAGTGCCTTATTTAATGTTTACATACTGTAACATAAGCATAAGTACGCCAGCAAACACAATATTTTGTTACTCAAAAATGTATACTTGATATCTGAATAGATAGCTGAATAGATATCGGAATAAATCAACTAAAGGCTAAAACAGGAAAGTTGTTACAATTAATTATTTAATAATGACAGGGGTTTGTCAAATGTTATGGAATAGCCTTGTTGCTCTTTTGCTATACAACAAAACAAATACTATTTCAGTAGTAAATTTCAAGAAGTTAATTTCTTTTTTGTTATATAGAAAGAAGTCTGATTACCCATGAGTACATATTTCAAATTTAAATTCCACTTTAAAAAAAAAAAACTAGTAAAAAAGGGATGTTCAGTTTAAAAAAAGTATCTTTAAATAAATAATAAGTTACTGTAAAATTTACCTTTTCTCCCAGCCTGGGATGGTTTTAAAAAAACAAGTGTAGGCATATTTTTAACAAAGTAATATAGAACTTGTTGAGGTTTTCGTATAGACTATACAGCATCTCAATGTTTTGTATTTAAAGTTAGTTAACATAAATTACATACAACTAAAAATGATAATGTTCACTTATACTTTGTAATTTTTTAAAAAATCAAATGATTTTAATATCATATTCCAATAAACAATGATATTTCAGACAAAACAACAGAATAATTGTTTTTTTTTTTTATAATAAATTTTTTTTTTCATTTCTGATTACTTTTACTTATGTGGACTGTTAATTTGAAATATGTTAATTTGAAATAAGATAATCAAAAGAATCTTGTGTATCTGATTTAGTGAAAGCATGTTTAAACTCATCACAGTGGTGACATCTATAAATAGCTGTTCTATAAATAGCTGTTCTATGCCCTGATAAGGGACTTCTACAGCATGCAAGTTACATAATTTGACCTCACTTTAAAGATAAAGGTATGAACACAAAAAAACAACAAACTATACACATCATATATAAATGACTTGGTCATTTGCCTTTTCATAAATTATATGGACAATATTTGTTTAAAGCAAAGTTAAGATTCAATACACAATTAGAGAATTAAAATAAACAATGTTAACTACCAAATATAATTCATGTACATTGATGAAAAAAAAAAATTGTTAAACTCCCCGAAAAAATAAATTTGTCAAGCAGACCCTCAAACTTCTATATTACAAACATTTCTTTAAAATTTGACTTTTATGAAGGGAGCGAACATCAACTCGCGGCTAGTAGAAGATTTTGTTGGCAGGTTAATTAAAAAAAGCTGTTAATTAGAGTGGGAGCTTATCCTCTGGGAGGTTGATGTTTGCGGCATCGTCAGCGGACTCTGGCGTGGTGATGAGGTTCTCGTCTGCAGAGTGGGCGTCACGGAAAGCGTCATCGATTTCACTGGAGGATCTGCTGCCTGTCACTCTAGCCTGGGGGAAGACAAGAGGTCATAGGTCATCTAGTGCTGAGAGTAGAGGTCATAGGTTATCTAGTGCTGGGGATACAGGTCATAGGTTATCTAGTGCTGGGGATACAGGTCATAGGTTATCTAGTGCTGACAGTAGAGGTCATAGGTTATCTAGTGCTGAGAGTAGAGGTCATAGGTCATCTAGTGATGGGAATATAGGTCATAGGTCATCTAGTGATGGGAATACAGGTCATCTAGTGCTGGGGATACAGGTCATAGGTTATCTAGTGCTGGGGATACAGGTCATAGGTTATCTAGTGCTGGGGATACAGGTCATAGGTTATCTAGTGCTGGGGATACAGGTCATAGGTTATCTAGTGCTGGGGATACAGGTCATAGGTTATCTAGTGCTGAGAGTAGAGGTCAAAGGTCATCTTGAGGTGAGAAAAGAGGTCAAAGGTCACTTAGTGCTGAGAACAGGTCAAAGGTTATCTAGTGCTGATAATAGAGGTCAGAGGTCAACTACTGCTGAGAATAGGGTTCAGAGTTCATACATCTAGAGGCAAGAAGAGAGGTGAGATGGTAAACATCTATTGGCAAGAATAGGTCTTAGTTTAGACATCGTGTGATAAAAGTTATAGAAAAAAAAAGGAGTATATAGTTCAAAAGGGAGTACACATATAAAACAGGTAGTTGTAAGACTATAAGAACAGAGCACACAGTTGAAGAAGAATTAGTATCAACTCATACGTGGGGTATAACATACAGCACACAGTTGAAGTAGAATTAGCAACAACTCATACATGGGGTATCACATACAGGGCATTTTTGAAACATCACTTCATACGTAGGTTATCACATACAGCACATATTGAAGCAGCAGCAGCACCAATTCATACAAGGGCTATCACATATAGCACCACATGTGGGCTATCACATACAGCATAGAGCTGAAGCAGATTTGACATCAATTCATATGTGGGCTATCACATACAGCAGACAGTTGAACCACAAATTTGCATCATTTTAACACATACAACACAAAGTAGAAGCACTAGCAGCATCAATTCATACGAGAATATCACATACAGCACAAAAGGCAAGCAGGAAGAGGGAAAAAAAATTATAATAACCTTGCACAAGCTCTACCAACCAGAGGTAGTTAACAAAAAACATAGACAGTGACAAAATAATACACAACTGAGAAATTATTTGGGTTTTGACAAATACATTGTGATTCAGGAAATTTAACAGTGTGTCGATAAAAAGATTCTACATTAGCTTTAAATGAATTGTGATGTTAAAAATAAAATCTTAGTCTACAAACTATGCAATAGTTATAGAAAAGTAAATTTAAAAAAACTTTATCAAAGCTGTATATAAAAGCAGTTGCAAAGCACCACAAACAGAATATCACCATAGGCTTCTGTGCTTTAAAAATAAGACTAAACAAAACAACAGGAGGATAAAAACATGAATGCACAGGGTTTGAATGTGAATGAGAGAAAATTAGGTTGCAGTAATCACAGTGTAAAAAAAAAGGAAGTTTTAAATCAATTATTTTCCCCCACTTGTTCAAAATAGTTTGATTCATGATCATGCTAGGGGTGATAAGTAAGTGAAGGCACTTAAAAACAGAACAAAAGAGGATTTTTAATCAGCTTTAAAAAAATTGGTTTCATTCAGATTCTAGTTCAATATAGATATATTTTTAGATTAAAAACTCATCAAATTCTTGGGATGCTCTTCAAAAATCAAAACTTCTGAATAAACGAAGTTTAAATTTTTCCTTGATTCATCAGCTGAAAAAACTAGTTTAGAACATTTTCTCTAGCACATAACCAGCAAACATATGAAAAAAACGGTGAAAAAATAAATTTCAGCACAGTGACAGTGAAAAAATTAAATGTCCTGCTACAACACAACACCTACACACTCACCAAACGTTCTTTTAAGCCCTCTATGGAGCGGGAGGACTAGTCAAATAGAAAACAAAAGAAATCATTGGGGGGAACTACTGGCATGGCACACCTCATCAAGGGAAGGGAGGCAATTATGACAAGTCAAGGGAGGCAATCATGACTAGTCACATAGAAAACAAAAGAAATCATTGGGGGGGGGGGGGGGGGGGGGGACTACTGGCATGGTACACCTAATCAAGGGAGACAATCATGACAAGTAGTCAGGGGAGGCAATCAGGACTAGTCAAATAAAAAATCAAGGGAGGCAATTATCACTAGTCAAATAAAAAACAAAAGAACTCAATGGAGGCAATGTTGACTAGTAGTAAAAAAAAATCAAGAGGGGGGGGGGGGGGGGGCAATGAGGACTAGTCAAATAGAAAACAAAAGAAATCAAGGGAGGCAATCATTACTAGTCAGAAGGGTGGGGGGTACTACACTACCACATCCAATATACTCCTTCTATTAAATTTAATGGTCAGACACAAATGTAGCCACACTCCTTTTGGGGGAGCAAGGGAGGGAGTTTAAAATACAAATTAAAACAAAAATAAAATAAAATTCTTAGTCCCTTAGGCACAAAAAACCAGAACCCCCACCATAAAAAACGTCAAATCTCAACAAACTACCCCATTCAAAATTGCAGTTTTTGTATTTAAAAATTTCTTGCTAAAATATTTTTTTTAGCTTGGCCAACATTGAGTATATTTATTGATTTTTAAAGCAAATTAACAAATAAAAAATAATAATGGCTAAAATTCAGTTTCTAACATAACTTTTTATAATGCTAAAGTGTGCCATCCCCCTCCCCTCCACTCATCACAATATTCCACACCTCCCTAACAGTGTGATGTCTTTCATTGACAACCCCTAGAGTGACACCATTTATGACCATCCCTAACTTGTGGTTGACAAAATTAATGACCTCATTAAACTATTGGCTAGAAAAATATTCCTTTCATGCTTTAATTTCTACTAAAACTTTGTAAAGGGGACAGTGCTTATTAGAATCATACTGACTACATAGAATAAAATAATTGCTTGTAATTTATTTTTCTGAAGTTTTTTTTCTCCCTCTTAATTAAAAGAGCAATTTCCATCAGACTTAGTGTAACACCAACGTTGTGACCATTGCACTACACAAATCTAAATACTAATTTAATATGACAAACTTAGGTAAATTATAAAAAAACAGATACATTAAACACTAGTAATAATAAATTAAATCTACTTGAAACCATTCATAATAGGTAAGGAATCTCCATTGATAACATCCATAAAAAACAACAGAAAATAAATAACATCAATAATCATAACTTACATTAAAAAATAATAATTTATACCAATAACAAATTTTTTGTCAAAATTTTACTTACACTACACTATCTCATTGATAAAACTACTTCTACAAGAGGGCAATACATGTACATAAATTAACATAAATTAGGGGACTCACTAGACTGAAAAGAATATAAATGAAACATATAAATTGTACAATACATTACATTGAATTATGGGTATCTATGGGAGGTGGTTAGAACAATAACAAGTATTCTAATAGTACTAATAATCAAGCATGAAGTTTTCTAATAAATGCTGCTACAATTTTTATGCTGTAGATTAAACAATGGGTAGTAAAAATACCATCAAGTCATGAGTCAGATGAAGTAGACCTAACAGTTTCTGTGACTTCAGCATATGAAGGGATAATGTGGTCAGCACTATGCCAAGCTTTTACTTCCCTGAGAATTATGCCAGGTACCCATTAGAGCTGGGTTGATACAGCATTCACTAAAGGACCTCAATGGTTAAGCTTTAGAGCTGGGTTGATACAGCATTCACTAAGGCCTCACTGGTTAAGCTAAAGAGCTGGGTTGATACAGCATTCACTAAAGGACCTCAATGGTTAAGCTTTAGAGCTGGGTTGATACAGCATTCACTAAAGGACCTCAATGGTTAAGCTTTAGAGCTGGGTTGATACAGCATTCACTAAGGACCTCAATGGTTAAGCTAAACAATGAATCTAAAACAAATGAAGTAATATCACCTACTCATTTCAACAACAAAAAAAAAGGCACAATTCAACACTAACAACTAGAACTATCACTTTATCCAGCTTTAACCAATACTGCAGACTTTAAATCTTTTGCAGTGGAAATTTATTTTTTGTCTGGCTGCTTCAACAGTTCTAGTTGTTAAAGATAGAAACTAAAATTTTATTTAAAAAAAAAAAACTAACATAATTAAATCCTACATAAGTTACATAACACAAAGACTAACACTGAATGCTAAGACCATCAAGTGGAGCTAGGTAAAGAAAACCAGAACGTCCAGTGAATATTTTCTGTTTTATTGCCAATACGAAAACACTTGCTGAAAATACACATAGCTGAGCTCCTAAATACAATTTACACCAATTCAGCTTAGCTGTGCCATTTGCTTCATAACACAAAAGGGGTTAAAGGTCAACTAAACTATCCAGTATGGTGAGTTAAGAAGTGACCAATGCTAAAAAAAATTAAATTCGACATTTTAATTCCTCAATGTCACACACTCAGAACTAGAAACTTTATTTTTGTCTCACTAATTTTTATTTAACAATGACTATTAACCGTTTCCCCCTCAATAAGCGCTAGTTAACTGGTAACCGCAATTTATTTAATTTCTAAAAGCTTTGTACATAGAAAAAAACAAAAGAACGTTTTTAAATCTAAAGCAGTTTTGTTCCAAATGATAAGATAAGGTTGAAATGTATTTATTCTGGTTTTATTTTGTTTTTATAATAAATGTTAGTGTTTTTATGTTCGAAAGAAAAAATAATGTTTTTAAAATAATTACCTCTCTTAATATATAACCCTGTATAAAAATGTTCTTTAACAGTAAAAAGATATTGTCTTAATTTTTCTCAGTTGAGTATCATTTGAACTATTTCCTAAAGATACACCAACAAGTTCACCCAAGCTAACAGATGTATGGCACTGTTCTACAGATAGACATTGATAAAACAAAAAATCCAAAATGTACATTTACCTTGATATCAACACCTAACGCTTGTAAAATTACTTTTAAAAAGTACATTAACCCCTTTACCGTGTGTCACGAGTTAACTCGTCATATAAAATCTTGTGCTTAACCGTACATCACGAGTTAACTCGTCTTCAGATAAAAAAGTCGTCTGTGTGCCGTGCGTCACGAGTTAACTCGTCTTGATACGAAAATACGAAAATAGCATTGGAAATCAATAACAATGTAGAGGGAGGCTAATCTAACAGCCAATTCAACAGCGGATGATAAAAGTAGGTCATCACGTGATGTGAAAACGAAAGTGGAAAAAAAACAATTACACGGTTTCCAAAAATTATTTTTTTTCCACGGTAAAGGGGTTAAAAGGTGCACAAATTTTCTACACATTATTTAAGTCATTATATTACAGATATGACAATTACTATCAATTTAACAGTTAACACCTATTGATTTAGTTAAACGTTACAATAGAACATGATATAATTATAACATATATATAATTATGTATGTAAGTATATATATATATATATATATATATATATATATAAAAAACTAATAAAATAGTTATTACTGCACCAACAAAAAATAAGTGACATACATAAAATGCTATATTTGAGCAAAAACATTCCAGTTACAAATATTTTTTTAACTAAAAACCTTGTATTACAGACTACATTAAAAGATTCTAATGAGCAGATAGTACAGGTAGTTAAATTCAAATCCTTTATTTGAAGAGAGAGAAATCGACTAGATCTGTATCTGTAATGCTGCAGCACTTAAGCAAATGGTTTACATCTTTTTAATTGGGCTGGACATATCTTTGAAAAGATGCCCAAATATGACTAGTGTTAATCTTCTACAGCCAACATACCAATAAGCTGACCTGTGCTTTGGGAGTTAAAATATTACAAAATACAGAAAACTATTATGCAATCTGCAGATTTTGCAGTGCCAAAAATTATATTTTTGAAGTAGTCCTAGAAAAATATGACACAATTCTCTGGTGTACAATATGATCCAGGTCTTTAAATAATACACATTTTGTTCAACAATAAAACATGATGGGCTAATCCATGAATGTACCATCAAGGAAATACAAGTCTCAGTCAATGTAAACTCTTTACATTAGAAAACAAAAATAAAAATCTGTATAGTAAAAATATCATCTGGTAAACTATTTATTTAAAAAAAATACATTTCACACAACTGGGATAATTAAAAGATTTTCAACATAGGATTCATTTGATAAAGACATGCTTATTGCATTGTAAACTAGAAATAAATTCATTTAGCTGTAATAATTAGCCTAAGAAACATCAAACCAATTAGCATTGCTCAGTACACTTTTTTCAATAAAGTTACATTATGACATAACACTATAGTATTAGCTGCAATAATTTATACAAAAACAAATGAGTATAAATCAGTACACTTAGTTGAATTAATTTACATAAACACTATACCTGCAATAATGAGCCTAAGATACATGAATCCAATTAGCATAGCTCAGATAAAGAAATAAAGAGAGACACCACTACAACAAGTGCGACAGAGAGATGATTTAGTTACTAAGCTGCTTGACCATACCAAGACCCAACACAGAAGAAAATACAGACACCACAAAAACATGAAGGAAACACCAAGCCAATTCACCACGCCCACCATCAACGGAATTATGGGTATGCATTAATGATAAAGTCGGGATCCTCGGATGACCTTACCTTGACATTGGCGTAGGTGTTGTGCATCTTCTCGTCAAAAGATTTGAATGTCTGGGAGTTCCTGGAGAAGAGACATTTTTTTATTTACATATTTTACAGCAAGTGTCCCCACAATGAGCTCCTGCAATTAATGGTGTTTGTTGTGAATGGACATTGTTGTATTGAATGAGTTTGAGAGTATGTGTGTAGTTGAATGTGTTTAATAAAAGATGTCCCATATGACACTACTGTTCTGAATGGACCTTGGTGTATTGCATGAGTTTGAGAGTATGTGTGTAGTTGAATGTGTTTAATAAAGATGTCGATGGTTTGAGAGTATGTGTGTTGTGGGATTAATAAAAGATTCTGAATGTGTGACAAAGCAAATAAGGATGTGGGCTGGTTGTTAGGAAAGTAGTTGAAGTCAGTCTTAGTCTTGTTGTTGTCGCGTTAGGTTGTAGAAGTCGTCGTCCTGTCTGTCGTAGATGTAGCCGTGTGTATTGTATAGAATAAAATATGGAAATATATCAAAGCTGTTTAGTACTCTCTATTGGATCGTCATTGTATGTGTACGTATTCATGCAAGCATCAACCCTGTCCTAGTAACTCACATCATAACAGTTTTGTCTTCAGTCAAGTACTATGAGAGACAAGGGTTAATGTTCTAAATAAAAAATGGCACATTTTCTTTACAAACAAGAGGTGTAAGTCAATTAATTTATCATCCAAATTGTATTCCCGCACAAGGATATTTCCAATAATTGTCTGAAAATGAACTCTTCAAAAAAAAGAAGTGATGTTTTAGCAGTAGTTGTATTTTATTAACAAAGTTTTATTGACATTCTCTGATGATTTTTATTATTGGACTCCAATAAATACATGTAATGAGTCGCAGCACATTTCACTGTATTAGGCTACACTTAGTGCTAACTAATGGCTAATATTTTAACCAACCAACCCCCCTTTTTTTCCTCTGAAGTGTAATCCACATACTCTATATACAGATTCAGAAACAGGTAATTTTTTTTTTAAAAGGGGTTTTAAAAAGTTATATCAAGTATTGTTTGTGAATTACATTATCAGGATATATATAGATTAGAGGTTAATAGTAGCTAAATAGAAATTTTCAGAGGTTTTAAAGTTAAAAAGGTAAGAATAAAACAGTAAATAAGGAATAAGGACTAGAGGTCAATAAACAGAGAGAGGCCATGTTCTTACTTGATATCCCCCATCTTCTTGGCCACCACCTGGCCAACTGTTGAAATGGCACTGCTTGTTTTTTCTGTGGCCGTCTTCACTACAGCGGAGGTTTTTTGGTAGCTGGAAATATAAAAAACAGGGGGAGTTATGCTTGGGTATTTTGTCATCAACAGCATGTTCGTACAATTATGAAAACAAATGTAAAATTGATTAAATAAAAAATAAATGAAACATTAAAGTGATACGCTAATTACATCAATTTAACATTATTTCTTGTGCTTTACATAAAATAGTGATCTGTATGTGTTTACATTAGTATGTGTGTGTGTGTGTATCAATGGACATCAAGAATGCACAGTGTAAAAATATGTGGGCCTACATCTATTTATATAGACACCATTGATCAATGATGTTGTTAGTGTGGATATGTTAATTTAAATTTGATGGAAAAAAGGGAAGAAAAGGTACAGTTAGTGATGTAGCAATGCATGATACAGTTTTCTGGAGTAGATTTATTATGATTTAACAAGCAAACATTGACTACTGAACTACTTAAAGCTATGATCACAAATTATTGTAAAGAGATACATAACAACTAGTAATTCTGAAGAGGGAGAATAATTACTAAAATAATTTAAAATAATTTATTACTATAAATGTAAAATAATTTATTTAGAAAGTGATGATATGGGCTTTACATTATAACTTAGTCGCTTAATTATTTTTAATTAAACAATTACGTTGTATCAAATTGCATTAAAAAATAGAAATTATTTTGTGTAAATTGAATACCATCATGATATAAAATGAAACATCAAGTTTAAAAAACATGAGTGCATCCTGAAATTAGCTCAGGTAACTGATTGACTCTTTAGACACTTAAGCAGCAATATTGATCTATCTATTCAAATTGACTGCAAATAATGGCAAGTTTAAAAAAGAAAATGGTATCATTTACTTTCTTCTTTTAAGTCCAATAGTTGTTTTAAGATAGCAAAAACCACTATTGTTTCTCTTAAGCTGCTGTAAATATTTCATTCTTTTGTCAGTTATCATACTCAGAAAAAAATGATTTCTTCATAAAATAGTACCTTGTTGGTATTTGAAGAGAAGTGTTTTCTAAACAAAAAGTACACTTAATTGGCAGGTACACAATTATTTTCGTCAAATTTTTAACACCAAAGTTAGTTTAGGCATATTTCAAAATATAAAGTTTTAACTTTTGTTGAATGAGTAGGCTTATTTTCGATTTCTAATTAAATTTGGTATGTGACGGTTTGTTAATCAATATACAATGTCTGGTATTCTGGAATAATAAATGTAGACAAAAAAAAAGCCATGGTGAAATCACAAGAAACTCCAGACTGAAAGGGTTAAATAGTAATAATTAGCATTTAAAAAACTGTTATGACAGGACTTAGCTCTCATAAACGCTAGAGATATTGATTTGATACATCCCAGCTAAATAAAACAGTGATGAGCTAAATATACACAATGACAGAAATAAATTGAGAACTGAATACAACTCTCTAGAAAATATTGAGAATCAATAATAGGTTTTAAAACTGATTAAAAACTAATTCCTTAATTAAAAATAAATATTCATAAACCTGGTCAGTTTGTTAATCAAATCAACTGTTCATCAAAACTGAATCGTGAGGAAGTGAAACAAACCCTAGTGCAAAAATGTGCAAGGATCACAATTTTATTTAACCAGGCCAACAGAGTGAATAAGAAACATCACAAGTGTTTTAACAGACAGTCTCATTTTTTAGTGTAATTTTGTAAACAAAGTTGTAGCATTACATGGTTACTAGACCAGAATGATACATTAATTGGAATCAGTAGTAGAAGGTATTATATATATTTATTTTAGTATGATTAATATATGTAATATTTAAGTATGATTAATATATAAGTATGTATGTATGTATGTATACAGACACATAGATATACACATATCTATATAAATAAAAACAAGATTCTGTATATTTGCCCTGAATAGAAATCCACAAATGTAAAATAGATTTTCAAGGCAATGTTAAAAAAGTAACATGCACTAAATAAACAAAGCAACATGCAACAAATGTGAACAAAGAATGTGTGCTCTTTCTAAGGGGCTCTCATACATTACATTCTATCCTAAGGGAATGCAAGAAGTTACATTCTATCCTAAGGGGCAGCAAAAAGTTACATTTTATCCTAAGAGACTGCAAGTAGTTTACTACATTTTATCAAATACACAGAAAATGCAAATATTAAGCAAATAGCAGCTGCTCTAGAAGGAATGGTGTCATGATAGACACTTTTTGTTTTGTACAATTCTTATATCAAAGGATTAAAGAATTTATTAAAAAACTTTGGGGAAAAATAAAAAATATAAACTATCATGCACGTTGAAAATAAAATTTAGCAAACAATTTGAAACTGCATGCATAGAAAGCCAATAAATGAATAACAAGAAAATAATGACAGATTTTAATGGTTAAAACAAACCCTGCCATCTTTAGCAACAAAACATTGTTTACAGTACCATGGGTGAGAAGTCTCTAGAACAACTTACACAAATACAACAATTTACAGTAAAACAGTTTAACTGTAGCTGCCAAGTTAAACAAAACATTTTACAGTAAACGTTACAGTGGTCTGGAGTTAGCAAGCACCACAAATAAGACCAAGTTACATTTAAACTTTTGTTAGAGACAGATAATATAAAAAGATGACTAATTTACAGTAAAACTGCTACTGTTATGGTCTACATCAAACAGCTAACACAAACAAATGGCTAGAGATGGCAGAGTAATGGTAGAAAAAACTCACGCCTGTGTTTGCGATATCTTTTCATTGAACTGATGTAAGGTATCATTGGTCTTTTGGTATCTAAGAGATATGAACAGAAAAGTTCAGTAGAAACAGAAGAGTTACAGCCCTCATCTATGTCTACTGTATAAAACTGTATGTACGAGGTATATAAAGATACTAGTCAGTTAAGAATTCCTTAGATGACATTGGATGTGAAAGTACAAATAAATTATTGAATATTTTATCGGTGGTCAAACTGGGTTATATGGTGGTATTAAATTAAGCTGCAGAAAACTGAAAAGCAGAAATTACAAATGTATGAATACACAGATATACCGAGAACAAATGCAAAATGAATACTTTTTAGTATAATATTTTGCCTAAAAATAGAACAATTAATGGACACCAGCGAGAAAAGTCTCAAAGGTATTTGAGAGGTGTATAAATTCATTTAAAAATCATGCACAGCGTAGTTACAATTAATATGGTTATAAAATCCTGTCTGTCTGGTTTTTTTCGGACTTAACTAAAGATTGGATGTATTTGATGTTTATAATATTTTCGGTAACTAAATAAAAATTTAAAAAAAAGCAAAAACAATTTGGTTTTCACGTGTAATGGCGACATAAACAATGGCATCCTGCTATTGGATAGGCCGTCATAGATTTTATTGTACACAATGTAAGCTAAAAATAGAAAACTAGGTCATGGGGTTTTAAATTTGCATTGTCATTTAAAAACTTGATCTGCAAAGTTTTGTAAACAAATAGTTATCGATCACTAAGTTACTGTACAGCCAATCAATATTTGTCTTACGAAAGTGAAACATCCGGTTATAACTTAGGCTATATGAAAATAAATAGAAATGTAACCTTAAACTCAACAAATTATTTTCAAATTCTCTGGATTTGCAACTTTTATAGCATTTATTCTAAAAATATAAAATTTCTAAATTAATTTTAGGCTTAAGTTTTTATTTTTTATTTTTTTTTACGGTCTAAATCTAAAAAGCACGTTTTTATTCCATGTCAACAACATTATGGAAGGAATCTCGTCAACTCGCTCGCCTCCATTAACATTTGTAACATTCAAAAATTTATGATAGCAGTACTCTAATATAAGTGGAAAAATGTCATGGTTACGTTCTTATAAGGTGAAGCATAGGCAAATGAGATCAATACCAGTCATATTAGTTACTTATTTTAGTTTCATAAATAAACAGGTGAAAAAAAGATTTATACATGTATCCATTTTTAAAATAGTTAATGAATGAGCTACAAAATTAGCAGAACTATCCCAGCTATCATCTAAAGGTTAGCAGCTAAAAAGTTGTAAAAAAAAGGAAAATTGAAAATAAAAAATAATTTTACTAAATTAAGCAGAAAGTTAACAAATATAACTAGAAAAAAGCAATAATGGTTAAGATAGTGAGACTTTAATAATGACAGGAGAAAAATAAAGAAATAAAACAAATTGCATGCTGTTTACACTTAAAACAAAGATGTCAGCTAAAAATCAGTATTTATTTTAGCCATTCACCCTCTCTTAAAGAAGAATATCAATTCAAAAGCTGCCTTACACTCAAATATCAGTTTCTTAAAGTATTAAGAAAGATTTTTAAAAATTGATTCAGAAATAAAATCGAACAAAATTTGAGCAATTGGAAATAGAACTAATTGCAGAATGCACTCTGGTTAATAGAGTTACCTTAAATTTCAGTCACATTAGATTCTAACTATTTATGCTAACTGCTAAAAAAACAATGACCATCATTTCTATATAAAGAATAAATCAATTTTTGCTGTAAAGTTTCATGTATTACATATGACATAGAGTCTATCACCAAATAAGAAAAACAAAAAATAACTTACGGGTCAGAGCTTTTAATTTGCTGAATCCCAGACTGTAAATCTTGCTTGAACTCTTGAAACGGGGTTATCCCCATTCTTCTCTTCAGCTCGCTGGCGTGTCTAACTTTGCTACCCAGAACCTGGCGCAACATGTTGATTTCTGATTCAACCTGAAAGAAATTTTATTTTAGTATATAAGAATATCTAAGTAATTTATTACTTAGATATTATTTATAGATACACAAGTAGATAACGTAAAATTAGTAAATGACTTAAAGGAATTAATAAAGTATATCTAAGTAATGCTTAGATTTATCATGGATTAGGGGAGGGGGGCATAACAAAGTAAATAAGCATGATTGCTAACTAGACTAAACACTACTGAGTTCTACTACAATGGTCAACTCCCCATGACAACCCAGAGTGGCCCCATCTTATTGCCACCTAAACACAGAGAGTATAAACTCAGCTAGGCATAGAGCTGGCTACACAATGCTTTTATCGGACAGTCAAAGAAACAGGTGAGCACTATATAATCTCTTTAGACTGTAAAATCTGAGAGCACCTAACCTTACTAGAACGAGATTCAACATGCTGAACAGGGACAACCGGATAATTTTTTTTAATGAAGCCGCAGCTTTAAGAGCTTAGCATAGTGTGAGAATAATTATTAAAAATAATGTGAATTACTACACATCAGGAAATAAAACAGGGTATAGCTAACCCAAGACCAGAAATGAGAGAATGACTGTCTAAACACTGACCTTCTCCAACTCTTCCTTAAGTTCTGTCATGCGCCTCTCCCGTTCTTCTGGAGTTTCGTCAAGAGGCGTGCCAGCACCAGAGGCTGAAGCTCCGAGGTCGGTGGAGGGAGATGAGGCGGCATCATAGTAATTGTCACCTGGGTAGAGAAAACATACTCTCAGGAATTGTTGGATCAAATCAACATATTATTAAAAATAAAATATTCAATGTAGAGTTCTAGATTTATTTTCAATTCATTCTGGTTTTAACTAGGCCTATACACACAGTTTAAATAATAGCAAATGTCGCAGTAACTATAAAATGAATATGTAAGCTAGGAAAAAATATGTTAGAAATAGAACATTTGATAAATTTATTTAAATTCAATTATTAAGACAAATTAGTTTAACGAGGAATGCAAAATAATAAGTGTAGGTTTTTAGCCCTAAAATGCCGTTACGAGGACAGCTGTTTTAGTTGGTATTTGTTAGAATGATGCATTGTTTCTTACTTTTGACTTCTAGAATATTGGCATATTTAGACATAATGAGAAATTACTATACTTCATCACTTATAATAACCAACTATATTTTATTTAGTCTATTCTCTCTTAATAATACAAAGTAAAGTAGCAAAAACCTTGAAAAATGTAAGTTGCAAAGCTTGTTTAACTTTGCAAAACTATAGTCTTCTTAGATTAGAGTTACTTTGTGAACTTTGTGCTGTTCAATGACAGTAATTGCTAAAAATTACACTCCATTACAAATTTAATTAAAAATGTATAATAAACTGTAAGTTTGCCTATTATTGCCTATTATTATACAATCCTTCTTTGTGCGGCAAAAATTTGTCATGAATTAGAATCTAGATATTAGTGGCCAAATTAAAATTAGGCTAAAAGATCTAGTAGGTTAATTAATTAACTATTAACTACAACTAGTCCTAGATGCAGCTCTAAAATTTATTATTAGGCCTATCCAATAAAAATCTAATAGTAGAGCTAAATAAATAGGCCTAGCATAATTAGTATTAATTACTAATAACTATTAGAATCTACTCAACTAGGGCTAGATCTAGTCCTAATTTTAAATTTAATATGGGAAACAAAAAGCTACAGGCAGAGCTAGATGTAGATCTCTAGACTAGCTAGATGACTAGATCTAGAATCTAGACTATTCTAGACAAGACTGAGCTCCCAAATAACAATTTTGTAGGCTAATAATATTGGCTGCATTTGCGCGGTTCGCTCCGCGTTACACGTAAGGCCGCCTTTGCGCAGTTCGCTCTGCGTTACGCTTAATCTTTACCCTAGGTGGCACGCGATCTAAAAAAAAACGATTTTTTTTTCGTGGTAACAATTTAATGTTGATATAGATCTAGATCGAGTTTAAGTGTATTTATATTATTTCAACACCTAAGAGTCTAGATATAGTACTTGTAAAAAAAAAACAGTACAGTGTAGTGTCAAGGAAAGTTTGTGAGGTCAGATGGGCCAGATGATAGTCCTAGATCTAGCAGCAACCTAGTTAAATCAAACTGTCCTTTAACCTTTAGGCCTAGCTATCTAGCATGCGTGATAGTAGATCTAAGTCTATATTATTTATCCTATGTGAACTTAAAAAAAAATTTCAATTTGCTTGAGGAAGAGGGGGGGGGGGGGGGGGTGGGAGGAAGAGAGAAGTGAAGACAGACGATCTCGTGTGAACGTCTATGACGTATGCTTTAGGCCTGCTGAACTCAGTGACCTGGGATTTTCCACTCACGGGATAGTAAACGTAAGGCAAGCAATCACGCCAGTGATGATGGTTTAAAATTTTATTAAAACAAAAAAAAAGAATCATAGTCTACGTCATATTTTCACAACAAAAAAAAAATGTAAAAAAAAACAAAAACTAGCTAACTCCGGGTTCGAACTCTGAACTCCGGTCTATGAACTAAAAACTACAACTGGCACACTGTTGACTCAACCACAGCGGATGTGTTGGAGAACCAAAAAGTAAGCATTTTTAATTTCAAGATGGCAAATCAAACCTGCGAGATGCGTAGTCTATTCTTTAGGGGCCACGCTTTGCGAGACACGTAGTCACTTCGAATAATATTACTTTATTAGATCAATTTTAAACCTTTAATAACCTTTGTGTATTTGTGTGAGTGGGCCCCAACTCCGAAGTAAATATTAGATTCTAGTACTTAGTTAGACTTAGTACTACTAACTACGCTCAGGTCGTGAATGAATATTTGATGATTGATTCAGTGTCATTTTCATTTGTAATTTTTATTGCCGTCACTGTCTGTCTTATGTGCACTGTCGAAAAACGCAGAAAAGACGGATATTTCCTACAATGCCAAGTAAAATAACGATATGTTTTAAAATGAAATACCTTTATCTAAACCATAGAGCATATCGTCGGTGGGGGTAGTGGACATTTTGATGTGTGGGGAGAAAATATTTCCAATAATTTACTTCAGACTGCCAGCTGTGCTACTGCTTGAGTACTACGTCATCAATACTTACCGTGTTTACATCAGTCACAATGAATTGAGTCACTTCAAAAGATTCGCATTTTATTATTTTTTAATTTTAATTTTAGTTTATTTTTTTTTGTAGGCTTGTTTTGCAGGTAATTGTTTTTTAAAGTTATCAGGCCTATACATTGTTAAAAAAATTAGCAAAAAAAATTTAATAGCATAAACGTGTAATTTCACACAAGAACGATTTTTATGTGTAAAGCAAGTAAGGCTGGCTCATGTTTCAGGGGAAACTACGCACTAATTTTATTTCACTGTAATAATTGCGTTACCTGGTTCTAAAAATATAACTTGCTAATATTTTCATTTCCATTGTATAATAGCACTAATGAAGATACCTCTGGATTTTATAATCTTGTTTTCTTTGAGAGAATTATCAACGATATATAGTTCTGTTTGTTTAAATGGCGTTCTGATTATTTCTGATATTTTACTTTGTGGCCATGTGAAATTTGTTAAACTGGTCGAGAAATAAACTATTTAATGGTGAAGAGAAGTAAAATAACACATTAGGGGGTCGTCCATAAATGACGTCAAACTCGTAGGGGGGGGGGCAGTATCGTAGCAAGGGGGGGGGGACATATGTCCCCGGGCGCCGACGCTAGGGGGCACCAAAATGGGTTGGAAAAATAAATTGAAAGGTTGAGGGGGTGCAAATCGAAAGTTTGAGGGGGGGGGGGGGGGGCAAAGGCGCCGGGAAGGGTCACTACGCCTCTGGGGGGGGAGGGGGGTCCGTAATTTTGTGACGGTGTGTGATGAGGGGAAGGGGGGAGGGTTTCAGATGGTATGACGTCTCACTTTTGCATTATAAAAACGCAATGTTATAAATCGAATTTTAGACGTTATTTCGCGTTTTAGAAAACGGTTTTAATAAATGGTAATAGGAATTGATCAAAATACTCTACGTTGACAGAGTTCTGACAAGATTTTGGAAAAATATCGATGTTTTAAGCAATTTTGAGGGGGGGGGGGTGTAGGCTGAGGTGTGACGTCATTTTAGGGGGGGGGGGTCTGGTTTTTTGTGACAACGTGTGACGGATGGTAGGGCATGGAAGGTAAAAATCGTCAAAAAAGCGTGACGTCATTTATGGATGACCCCTTGATCATTTCCTGGTTGTATTCAAGAAATCGTGTACATATAATTAAATTATAACAAAATTGTTAGGGGATTTTCCTAAAATTGTTGTCAGGTTTTTTGTCAGAGGGGGTGGAGTTTGGGGGGGGGGGCAAACTCGGGAAGGGGGAGTGCACTTAAATTTTCCATAGGGTGGGGTAGGACATTTGATTTAGTATATTCTTCCCATGTATTTTTTTTCTATTTTTTTCCGATGAGGGGGTGGGATAATGGACGTGCACCCCCCCTCACTTGCACCCCCTGAAGTGATGCCAAAAAGAAGCTCTGGCAGGTCCATAACCATTATTTTACGGTGGGGTTGGTGGGTTACCCCTAAATACGCTCAGTTCCTGTTGTAGGCCCATCTAAAATATCTACAATCCGTAGTATTGCTAACAAAATCAATAAAAAATACAACTTTTTAAAAATTATTTTTTGTTTGTTTGTAGGTTTGACGCAAATTTTGTAACTCAATTTTGACCCATTTCTAATTCAGCGATTTCGTTCAAACTTTTTAGATACGTTCCACTTCGATGACAATACACGTCTATCTATTTTTAAAATTTAATTAGATATCTAATTAGCCATTAAAAATTAATTTAAATGGTTCGAAACTAAGGGAAGATAACACAATTAAATCACTCTAACAGTGTGGTGAGCTGTGGTGCACGAGTATGTTTACACTCGTAGAGCCGGTCGATCTAGTGAAGGCTATTAGGGGCAGATAATAAAGTATTTAAACGATTTTAAACAAAGGGGGAGTAACAAGATTACGAATTTGCTGTCGTCTGTAAAATATGGTCACGGACGGCTGCTCTCACGGGGCAGATAAACGCCTTACAGATATCGCGATCTGCTGATTGTGATTTAAGGCAAATATTTTTAGTCGTGTCCACTTCATAAATTAAAAATCACTAAAAGTTAGAAATTAAAACAAATATTAAAAAAAAAAAACAACAAGATTTTTAAATGCACTGAAAATAATTTAAACTAATTTGCTTTCTTTCGCTTTGGTCGCTCATGGGATCTCTTACATATTTTAGTCGTTTATGGGCGACCCCTTAGGGACGTATTCAGTCCGGCATACAAATTCTAGAGTTTCGGATTATCGCTTTCCTACTCGAACTCGCCATGAATGCAGCAACCAGCATTAGGGGGTCGTCCATAAATGACGTCACACTCGTAAGGGGGAGGGGGGGGGGGGGGTCCGTAATTTTGTAACGATGTGTGACAGAGGGGAGTGGGAAGTAAAATCGTCAAAAAAGCGTGACATCATTTATGTATGACCCCCTTAGTAAAGACATGATATAGAAAGTTGTTCAAGAACGTTATGCGCTAATATGATTTTAACTAGCGTAGCTTTATCAGTGTTTGTACTGTTTAAATTATTTTTTTTTAAACTCTGAATGATACTGAATGCATTGAAAATAATATACCTGGTAATTATTAGACGTTAACTATATTAATGTATCGTGAGTACTTTCCACTAAATCATTAAAACGTTAGTTTAATTATTAAATCGCACATTTATTACTCAGCCACTCATTCTCCAGAATGGAAATTGCGCTAAAAAACATGGAAAGCAAGATTTCCCGTTCTTTTAAAGATATTCCCCGGCTATTCCTCGAAATTCCTGGTTTTCCCGGCCGGGAAATTAAATTTCGAAATTCTCGTTTTTTTCCCGGCTGCGTGGGAACCTTCTGTGAAGAAACACTGAATAAAAAAACCTACCGCAGTGTCCAGCTAATACACTTCCCACTAGTAGCCACACAAAAGACTTACTCGTTTCTTTTTCGGATGGTCTGTAAATAACAGGAAGCAATGTATAACTACTGTTAAGCCAATTGAAGGAAAGTGCCCAACAGAAAACCCTGGATCACAGATGATACATAGCAGATGGTAGAAAAAAGAAAGAGAGTAAAGAGTGAACTAAATCAAGCAAAACACGGCTAAAGTGGTGAAAAGAAAAACAAGAAATGAAAAGAGATTGTTTAAGATTTTCATGCTAACTTAGCCATGCTAGGAAACTTACTCGATGGGAATACACACATCAACCTTTCCATCATATCGACACACATGCGTGTATTTTTCTTCTGCAAATGCTGAGCCTAGAATTAAATAATTCTCCAATTTTTAAAAAGTCAAAATAGTATAATATATTTGCAATATACATAGAATACGTTGTAACTAAGAAAAAAAATTACCTATTGCGTAGCGGGGGGGGGGGGGGGTTCGGACAGCGCCGGGTGACACCATTTAGGGGGGGGGGTGACTACAAGGCAAAAAATAGCAAAATATTAATTAAGTGATTAATTCGAGTGTTAAATAGTCTTTTAAGAAGTGCAAAACGAAAATTAGAAGTTTGTCCCCGGGAAGGGTCGCTACGTCTCTGGGGGTGACACAATTTAGTGCCGCACTGGGTGACACCCGACCTCGCTACGCCACTGTGACTTGCTTATATTTTCATTTTCATTGTATATTAGCACTAATGAAGATACCTCTTCATTATCTAATCCTGTTTTCTTTATGAGAATTATCAACGATATAGATCTATAGTTCTCTTTGTTTAAATGACGTTCTGGTTATTTCTGATACTTTACTTTGGGGCCCACTGAAATTTATTAAACTGGTCGAGTAATAAATTAAACTATTTAATTGTGAAAAGAAGTAATATGACACATTGATCAATTCCTGATTGTATTCAAGGAATCGTGTACATATATTTAAACTATAACAAAATTGTTAGGGGCGTTTTCCTAAAATTGTTAAGTTATTTTTTTTTGTTAGAGGGAAGGGGGAGCGCACTTAAGTTTTACGGAGGGTGGGGGAGTACACTTTATTTAGTATATGCTTCCCATTTTTTTTCTTTTTTTCCCGCTGAGGGGGTGGGGTGATGGACGTGCACCCCCCCACCTCCATCCCCCGAAGTGATGCAAGAAAGAAACTCTGGCAGGTCCATTATTTTACGGTGGGGTTGGTGGATTAGCTAAATACGCTAAGTTCCTGTATCCACAATCCATAGTATTGTTAACGAAATCAATAAATAATACGACTTTTTTTTTATTATTATGAGCTTTTATTTAGTTCGCAACGTTTGTTTGTTTGTGGCAAATCTTGTAACTCAATTTTGACCCACTTCTAATGCAGCGATTTCGTTCAAACTTTTCAGATACGCTCCACTTCGATGACAATTCAAGTGTAACAATTTTAAAAATTTAATCAGACATCTAATTAGTCTTTAAAAATTAATGAAAATGTTTCGAAACTAAGTGGGGATAGCAAAATTAATTCAAACTGTTCAGATAAGCTCCACTTCTATGACAATACGAGTGTAACAATTTTTAAAATTTAATCAGACATCTAATTAGTCTTTGAAAATTAATGAAAATGTTTCTAAACTAAAGGAGGATAACAAAATTAAATCACTCTAACAGTAAGGTGAGCTGTGGTGCACGAGTATGTTTACACTCGTAGAGCCGGTCGATCTAGTGAAGGCTATTAGGGGCAGATAATAAAGTATTTAAACGATTTTAAACTAAGGGGGAGTAACAAGATTACGAACTTGCTGTCGTCTGTAAAATATGGTCACGGACGGCTGCTCTCATGGGGCAGATAAAAGCCTTACAGATATCGCGATCTACTGATTGTGATTTAAGGCAAATATTTTTAGTCGTGTCCACTTCATAGATTAAAAATCACTAAAAGTTAGAAATTAAAACAAATATTAAAAAAAAAAACAAGATTTTTAAATGCACTGAAAATAATTTAAACTAATTTGCTTTCTTTCGCTTTGGTCGCTCATGGGATCTCTTACATATTTTAGTCGTTTATGGGCGACCCCTTAGGGACGTGTTCAGTCCGCATCCAAATTCTAGAGTTTCGGATTATCGCTTTACTACTCGAACTCGCCATGAATGCAGCAACCAGCATTAGGGGGTCGTCCATAAATGACGTCACACTCGTAAGGGGGAGGGGGGGGGGGGTCCGTAATTTTGTAACGATGTGTGACAGAGGGGAGTGGGAAGTAAAATCGTCAAAAAAGCGTGACATCATTTATGTATGACCCCCTTAGTAAAGACATGATATAGAAAGTTGTTCAAGAACGTTTAGCGCTAATATGATTTTAACTAGCGTAGCTTTATCAGTGTTTGTACTGTTTAAATTATTTTTTTTTAAACTCTGAATGATACTGAATGCATTGAAAATAATATACCTGGTAATTATTAGACGTTAACTATATTAATGTATCGTGAGTACTTTCCACTAAATCATTAAAACGTTAGTTTAATTATTAAATCGCACATTTATTACTCAGCCACTCATTCTCCAGAATGGAAATTGCGCTAAAAACATGGAAAGCAAGATTTCCCGTTCTTTTAAAGATATTCCCCGGCTATTCCTCGAAATTCCTGGTTTTCCCGGCCGGGAAATTAAATTTCGAAATTCTCGTTTTTTTCCCGGCTGCGTGGGAACCCTCTGTGAAGAAACACTGAATAAAAAAACCTACCGCAGTGTCCAGCTAATACACTTCCCACTAGTAGCCACACAAAAGACTTACTCGTTACGGTCTCTTTCAGTCTTTCTTTTTCGGATGGTCTGTAAATAACAGGAAGCAATGTATAACTACTGTTAAGCCAATTGAAGGAAAGTGCCCAACAGAAAACCCTGGATCACAGATGATACATAGCAGATGGTAGAAAAAAGAAAGAGAGTAAAGAGTGAACTAAATCAAGCAAAACACGGCTAAAGTGGTGAAAAGAAAAACAAGAAATGAAAAGAGATTGTTTAAGATTTTCATGCTAACTTAGCCATGCTAGGAAACTTACTCGATGGGAATACACACATCAACCTTTCCATCATATCGACACACATGCGTGTATTCTTTTTCTGCAAATGCTGAGCCTAGAATTAAATAACTCTCCAATTTTTAAAAAGTCAAAATAGTATAATATATTTGCAATATACATAGAATATGTTGTAACTTAGAAAAAAAATTACCTATTAAGAAATAGAAGGCCAATAGCCAACAGAATATCTGAATTTTTCCAGGAGGGAGACTCTCTCTTCCAACTTTTCTTCTTTTTTCTGTTGAATTAAAAAATTAATTGGCACATGTAAATAAACACAATACAACTGGTATAGCATTAAGGTAAAAATAACCAATGCAATATTATGTAATCTAACATAGCACATTTTAGAATGCATGGAATGGACCTTTCAAGTACCAAATCAATAAAATTTAATATTTGGCCCAGAATTCAAACCCTACTAAGCTTTTGTAAAGAGATGTCTTGCTCCAAAAAGAGTTAATAATAATAAAAAACTCCAACATACCTGGAACAGTATCAAGATGCTCTACACGTGTAGTCTGTTCCCCCATAGTGCTAGAAACAGCAGACACACCAGCAGCTGCAGCTTGAAGGGGCACAGTTTCCTCTGCATCAGTCTCACCACCCAAAGACTTCTTATCATCTGAGACATCAACATCAAAGTTTAAAATGTGGTTGGCGCTACGTTTTATTATAACAGCTAATTAATTGTTGCAAGTTGTTCTAAACATACCTCGTTTAGGTGAAGCGGAAGCAGCCTCAGATGCGTCATTCGTGGCGTTGACATTAGACATGGCAGGTGGATCTTCAAACAAACCTCCAGTGCCCATAAAGTTTTGTGCTGTTTAATGACAAGAACAACTATTTGAAATAGGAATAAATAATAATGCTAATCGAACTTATTTCATCAGCAAAACTTCTTCAAAGAGACTAAAATATAGCCTACCAAAAAAATCCTGATCGATATCTCCAAAGGTATCATCATCATCTTCATCACAGCCATCATCTGCATCTGAAAAACAATAGATAAAACCAAATATAAATAATAACAAAATAACTAAGAGTGAAACTACTTTACACAACCACAAATTGGACTTACCCATAAATTCATCACCAAACCCATCTCCCACAACTGGGGGAGGTGAGTCTATGTCCATGGGCTTTTCTTTGTCAGCTGGAGAATGAGGTTGGTCATCTTTTGGCACATACATGTCTGATGGCTTATATAGACCATCATCTAGATGTCCATCTTCATGAAGAATTTCCCATTCATCAAATCCCACATCACCTGAAGTATCAATAATGAAATAACTACTTTTTGAAAGCACATTATTTCTCAAGTAAATTTCTATTCATAAAGCTTAAGCTTCTTAAATCATATTTAAAAGCTAACAAAGAAATTTTGTAGCCACTTCAACCAAACAAGCCACACAAAAGCCATTCACTCATGATTCCAATTGGAGGCACGCCATCAATCTGTAAATATGTGTGAGTGGAAACATCTTGTATTATAAAATGCCTTTAGATAAAAAGCCACTCTCTATGGGGGTCAAAGGCAACTTTTTGAACAATGAATGAATAAGAAAAACAAAATCTTAGTAAAGTAAAGAACAGTATTGTACCCACCTAAATGGTAAGGGAAATAACTCCAATTGGAATCCCCCACATTACAAGAAGGAGAAGGTGGTTGGAGAAATGAAGGAAAAAAACAAAACAAAACCAAAAAGCCAACAACCTTTGACCCAAAAGAAAGTAGCTTCTTACCCTTGCCATTTAGCAACCCCCCAACACTGAGGTCTGTCTTTTCTGATGTATCAATTTTGTCTGGACATGGCAATTTTTCAAGACATTTACTGTTACAAGCTATTTCATCTATATCACAAGCATGTTCTTTATGATTATGGTGGCAGCGACGACTGGTAGTGACACATTTATCATCTTGAAAATTATATTCGGAATCATCCCATTCTTCCTCTGACCCTGATTCCATGTCATAGAAACCAGGTTCAGTGTCTAGTCCAATGCCACTATCTGAATGCTCAAGAGGAAGTCTGTCAGCATTCTCAGCTACGTTATCAAAACTGGCATCTTATTTTCTTGAGGCACTTAAACGTTTACGGCAAGGGCAGTTGGCACACTGGGCACAAAAGTTTTTATCCTGAGACGAAGAAGCTAGCGATAAATGTATTTTTCTAGAAGATTGAGGAGGGGTCAACGAAGAAGCTAACGATAAATGTATTTTTCTAGAAGATTGAGGAGGGGTCATAAACGGTTCAATTTCTGAGGTAGATGGTGATAGAATATTGTCACAAGAGTCAACAGTATAGCTGCCATGACTTTTTATAGGTGTGGAACGGTCGAAACAACTAGGAAAGGTCAACAAGGTGTTTGGATTTGTTATATCATAGGTATTTTCAACATCATTCTCAATCCCACTGTCTATACGAGAATTTCTATCACAGATGGTTACAATGGTTTCATGATATGCAGTTGAACGCCTGCAAACACACTCAAGCTGAGATGACATTTTACAAACTAGACAACTGAGATATGTTGATTTTAATGTCAGGGCTCTGTCCAGTAATTCACAAAGAAAATCTTCACTCAGTGGATGTTTGATAAAAATAGACGCTTCCCCATAAATTATAAGGCAAAGTTTTTGATTAGTTACAGTTTCTCCCAAGGAATCGTCTTCCAATGGACCTGACAATTTAGGAAATTGTAGTAAATGAAAAATCGCTAATACATACCTGCATTGACAATATAGTTTTCTACCATTGCCTTTCCTTCAAAATACTTGCATCTTTCTTTGGCTGTCAGACTGGAGTACTCAGCCCCTATGTAGATCAAGTGTTTGACTTTACTCTGCATGGCCGCATTCACGACGTTAAAGCCCTGGAGAAAACAGACATGAATATGTGCAGCTGTTGGCCTCAACTGTTTTAATATGTGCTGCTGTTGCTGTTGTGCTGAATTATTTTGTTATGTGCTGCTGTTGGTCTGAATTATGTTATTATGTGCAGCTGTTGGCCTATATGTGCAGCTGTATGTATTGCACTGAATGTATTGCAACAACGGCTGATTACTAAGTGCACAGGACACTACAGTTGTTATTAATTATTATCACAGGCCAACCTGCTGATACTCGATGTCCACACTCATGGTTTCCCAGTAGGTTGTATGTAGAAAGACCGTGTCTATGTTCTCCTTTGCTCCTTTGATGGTCAGTGGTTTTGTCATGTCACCTGTGTGTAGCGTCACTCCTTTGTTGGGCGACAAGTAAAACTAAATTGGCACAGACTATATATATATATATATATATATATATATATATATATATATATATATATATATATATATATATATATATATATACGGAGACGCAGCGAGGGCGGGGAAAGGGGTGCGGACTGCACTGGGTAACTCCATTTAGGGGGTGACACCAAGACAAAAAAAATTGCAAAATGTGCAGAAGAAATATGCTTTTTGCCAGTTCCATTAATTAAAAATTAAAGTTAAATAGTCTTTTAAAAGCAAATCGACAATTATTACAAGAGGGTGGAGGTGACACCATGATGTAAACTTGCTAACTAAAGAGAAAACAATGCTACATTCAACTGTATTATTAACATACAATAGATAAACATCGTTATTATTAAGTTTGCAGTGATTAAAGCTTATACACATATACACTCATACACACACACACACACACACACACACACATATATATATATATATATATATATATATATATATATATATATATATATATATATATATATATATATATATATATATATATATATATATATTGGGGGGGTGACACCACGAAGTGCCGCACCGGGTTATACCCGACCTTACGACGCCATAGTATATGTGTGTGAGTGTGTGTGTGTTTGTGCGTGTCTGACTATCAGTATCAAACATTTTTCCTTTTGTTTTTAGACTAACCTTTAGAGACAAGCTCATCATAGGCCTCACCCTGCATCGTGCGGGTAAACCCGTTGACTCTAAACCACGCACAGCCCAGCGCCGCTTCCGCCACGGCCCCTCCCGTCATGCCGGTCACCCCGAATATCAGGATATTTGTCACGTCATCCTCCGATTGTTTCCGAGAAGGCGCACTCATGCGCCGTAAACTAAAAACAAACAAAAATAAATTATTTATTCTAATAAGAAAATGCTATGTATTAAAATGAAACAGAACTATCGAATATACTTTTTGCTTGCACGAAAATCGTAACCAGTGTTTCTATTAGATATTTTCTCCGGAAGGGGTCACTTAAACCTTACGGGGGAAGGGGGGGGGGGGGGAGGAAGACGCACTAAAATGTCAGGAAGATAAACTCTGATCCTACCATACAAGAACATAATCATATATAGACCTAGATCTAATACTCTACACTTAAGTTTAATAGATCTAGACCTTGTAGCCTGATTTTAGTGTTTTACTATTAAAAACTTTGTTGTAACTTTATACTATAGATCTAGAACTTTCTCGAATATTCTATTATAAAACTACGAAGGATGGCAACTCAGGACATAGACAATATTTGTAATCCATTTTTAATTACTTAATTTTTTTATAATAGAATGGAATCTCGTAAAAAAAAAGAAATTGCACACCAAGTGAACGTCTAATAAAATGTGCATAATAGTGCGCAATATTATGAGTACTTTATAAATTTACATGCGTTTTTGAGAAATCGGAAATAGCGTAAATTAGTACTTCCGGTCAACGGAAATTACTCAAAATTTGACAGAAGGTAGAAAATTAGATCTTTTACTTACGTGTGAAATTTCATTTATCTATCGGAAACAGTACTCAAGTTATAGGCTTTTTAAAAATTCAAAGTAGAAAAAGTACCTCTTCCGGTTATCAGAAATCGCTCAAAAGTTGATACGGATCTACGATTTTGATAAAATACTTATATATGAAATTTCATCAATCTAGCTGTAACGGTACTCAAGTTATCGTGTTTATACACACACACACACACACGGACACGATTGCAAAATTATGTTTTTCCGCATCAGTG